TATGATCACCCACTCAGATGAATTCTCGGACTGTCCCAACATACCCAGGTTTTGACCCCCTCTAAGGATCTCACTGATTGGCATATCAAAGACAACCCAATCCGACACCTAGTGCAATGTCATAATCGAGTCTAGGGGTCAGGTGGAACATTTCAGTTTTGCCCATCTATCTCCAAGGTCCAGGGCAATACTAGAATTTTGGTTTGATTCAGGGTTTCAAGAAAACCCACATTGCATGTACCTCAGGTCTCACCCTGGCAGCTTAGACAAGTCACCCCAACCAACTTGGTGGTACATCAGTGTTAGCCTTGGTAGGATAAATTTCCCCAAATTTATCCAACAGGTGTGAAGATTCTAAACTAACACGAATCTCATATGTGTCCAATTTAAGGGTATTACATACAAACACACCATAATAACATAAATCAAACATGTACTTTATTTCATAATGTACATTGGAACTAAGGGCATACACTAACTAACAACCCGGTCCCCTAGACCCCTAGAGGTTCTAAACCCATGGACGAGAGGATGAGCTATTTGGAGAGACATTAGGACAGCATGGATGCCAAACTGACTGAGATCTTGGAGAAGCTCGGGGCGGTGCAGTTCCAGAATAGCAACCTGGTTGAAGGTAGCCGTCGTGCTATGCCAGGGAGCCATAGCGATCATTGCAATGAGGTGAAAGGACCATCACAATCTTAGGGATCTATAGGGAGTTGCCACTGACAACTAAAGCTGGAGCTGCCTCGATTTGTTGGGGGTAACCTTGATGGTTGGATCATACTAATCCAACAATATTTTCAGATCCTGGAGATTCCGGAGGACAAGTGGATTTTTTGTTGCTATCCTCGGGTTTGATGGGTCGGTCGTTGAATGGTACTATTGGATCAAAGACCACCCACCACCCTTAGCTTACATGGAATCCGTTTTTGAGTGCTCTAGACAATCGTTTAAATGGCTTACACAGAGCAAACATTGCTAAAAGGTTCTCAAAGTTGACCTAGTCGACCTTAGTGCAGAGCTATATGAAAGAATCTTAGAGACTCTCTAACAGAATAAAAGGGCTATCGGAAGAATATTTGGTTGGGTTCTTTATCGCATGGTTGAAACAAGAGATTCGAACGGGAGTCGAGATGTTTGAACCAGCTTCACTCGGCTGGGATTTTCGTCTAGCCTTGTTGAAGGAAGAAGAATGGTTGTATAAGCAGCGACTAACAAAGCTAGAGAATCCAAAATGGAAGCCAATAGTTGTATCTCCTCTTTCTAGCTCAACACAGAAGCTATTGGAGATCCAAAAAAATATCACCAGTCGAGGCAAGGGAGCAAAGGGAACAAGGGCTTTGCTACCACTGTGATGAAAAGTAGACCCCTCAACATTGCTGCAAGAAGCAAAAACTCTTCTGGATCATGTTATGGGCCCGGGAATAGGATCTCGTCACGGGTCGGTCCACGGGGAA